AAACTAAATCAATCCATCGTAACAAGGGTTCATATAGGGCTCGTGACCCTAACTACAATAAAAGATAACTAGCCAAGCATAATCATGGCTAAAAATTCAATATTCAATAACAGCATAAAATTAAAGTTAAATAGATGAAGAAGAAGAACTGTGGAAGAATCCTCCTGAGCTCTGCCGTCGGCCTCCTTCTGAATGGAATGCGACATATTTTAGGGTTCCGTCAAGAGGATATATTTATAAACCTCTTTTCCTTCTTGCAAAAATACCCTTCGCGCAGAAAGGTATAATTTCCCGCAAACCGGCGCCAGTTTGCGCTGCGCCTCTGTGCAAAATTGCAAAGTCGGAACCGAATCTTCGTAACATGGCGCCAGTTGGCGCCATCCTTCCACTTTTTGGGCGCCACTTGGCGCCACCTTGCGCCACTTTTGGGTGGAATTGGAGCCACTTTGCTTCACTTGGGCGCTGGTTGGCATGGTGGCGCTAGTTTGCGCCATTCTGGCGCCAACTAGCACCAATTCTCTGGACTTTGTACTATGCAACATGGAACTTTCCTGTGTGTGGAGTCGCGTTAAGAGGATTTTTATAATTTGTAATTTTCACTTCTCTTTTTCCTGTAAAAACACAACCAAAAGGTGAATATTATTGACATAGAAAGAATCAATATAAATAGTAAATATTTATTTAAATTGTTCTCTTATGACTCAATTCTTATCAATTTTAACACAGAAAAACTACACTTGCCAGAGGCACATCAGCAATCCTTAGTGAAATGCCCAACTCGGCCACAGTTGTAGCATCTGTCCGAGTTGCAATCCTTTGAATAATGGCCATACTTGCCACACTTATAACACTCTACATTACTTTGATTTGACCACCAGCCTCTTCCACCTCGGCCACGTCCTCTTCCTCTCCAGTTTTGCTGACTCGGCTCATCTCTTTCTTTATTTTTCACCTCATGACCTCGGCCACAACCACCTCGGCCATTTCCACGTCCAGCTTGTCCACGACCTCTACCTCGGACGTTCTGAGAATAGAGCGCCTTCTCATCCTTAATGGTTGCTTTTGTCTGGAGTGCTTGCTCAAGGGACTCCTCCTTTTTCTTCTTCTTGCGCTGTTCATGCGCCTCAAGGGAACCTACTAGCTCGTCAACAGAGAGCGTAGACAAGTCCTTGGACTCCTCGATTGCACACACCACGTTGTCGAAATTGTCTATCAATGACCTCAGAATCTTTTCTACTACTCTGGAGTCGGCCAACGCTTCTCCATTCTGCTTCAACTGGTTCACAACGGTCTGAACCCGAGTGATGAAGTCTGACACTCCTTCGGTCTCCTTCATTTTCATCCCCTCCAACTCTCCTCGAAGAGTTTGAAGCCCGACCTGCTTCACAAGGTCAGCACCTTGGTAGACCGTCTCCAATATGTCACAGGCCTCATTTGTTGTTGTTGCGCCTCCAATCTTTTCAAGACCACCGCTTTCTTCAACAACTTGAAACATCATAAAGAGTGCTGCTGCATCCTTTGTTCTCGTCGCACTCAACTGCTTGAGTTGATTTGCTGAATATCCTTTTGTTGTTTCAGGTTCTACGAACCCATTTTGCACTAACCCCCAACTGTCATAGGCTCTTAGAATAGCCTTCGTTTGGATGCTCCAGTTTTCATAGTTCACCTTTGTCAGGCAGGGCACTGGCAGACCATTACTCATATTCTCCATTGGCTCAAGCTCTGATACTAATTTGATATTTCACAGGTCCTCTTAATGGTGTTTTTCTCACACACAAGATACACACACAATTCTCTGTATATACCTCTATTGTATTACTGATTCTACCAAGCCCATTTTCAAGAGTTACAATGTGCTTTTTATAAGCAACAACAAATGATTAAGAATAATAATGACTAACATAGGAAATCTAAACATATTAATTATCCACTAACATTAGGGACACACCATAAACCAAAACAAAACCCTTCATATTTCTATTTTCTTTTATTTAAATTAAAGATTAACCTAACACCCCGGTCAGAAATAATAGGTTCTGGATCCATTATTTCTGATAACAGATCCTTGTTCACGTGACACGTGACAAACTGAACAGGTTGTATTTTGACAAATTTTTTATGAAATATGATATTTGAGTAATTTATTTGAAAAAATGTGTTATTTTGATTATTGTACCAGATATTGCTAAGAGCTTAACAAAGAATAAAGCAATATTTAAATTCAATTTCAACATTGAATGAGGAATGGTCAATAAGTACTAGGGGGATGCTTGGTTAGAGAAAGAAAGAAAATATGTAATTAAGAACTAAGAAGTTTTATCAACCAGAGACAATGCCAGTGCTGCATTACTTGTTAGTTCCAGGGAAGACGACCCTACTCTATTTGAGTAAAATATTTAAAACATGGGGACCCCTCAATTGCAGATGGATGTGTTGGTGAGCAACAAATATGTACAGCATTTACTAGTTTGGGTACAAACAGTTCTGGATACTACTAAACAATTGGGAGCACCTTGTCTTCTCGAACTTGTTTGGTTGGGAAGTGTGCTTCAACTTTAATATTGCTGTTAGGAGCCAAGTGTGACAAATGTGCATCAATATGTCCAGAGAACAGTTTCTTGTGTCCAAATCCAGCATTGATGGGTCATGATTTGTAAATAATAAGATGGAACTGATCAAACATTACTATCACTCAACTTTAATCGCTTCATGCGTATATTGGTGGGTACCTAATACTTAGATCTTTTGCAAAATAGCAAGGATATGAACATGGGGTCTAGATGAAGTAGTTGATTCTAGAACAGGCTAGTGTTTGTACCCTTTAGGGAAGGGATAGGATTAGACATGGCTGAATCAAGATTGATCTATTTTCTCTTTTCTTTTAATAACTGAAGACACTTATACATGACATTAAAACCCAGTTGATCATATAGTATATATCTATAGCCTCATTTGGAAAGTACCCGTTGGAGAAGATGGTGCATATGATTGGAGAGGACAATGCAACATGCGGGTCGACACAAAGAAAACAGGTGGAACACAAAATCCACATGGACTGTCTATATCCGCAGAGGGCAAAGCTTTAGGGAATTTTTTTTTTTTTTTTTCTTGTACTATCTTGATGGGTGGAATTCTTTCTCTCCACTTGATTTTATATGCATTTGGTTTCTTTTTTGGTTGTAGACATATGTCTCTCTTAATTCCTTGATTTTTTATTTTTATCTGTTTTACTTTCTTCACTTATAAAGGTTACTTTTCATGTTTAATCTTGTAGTACAAAATTCTACTTTCATAACTAGAGAGAATTAAAGCAGCAGCATTTAATCAAATGATAGTAGTTTAGTTGACGTACGAAAGTGAGCAGGTGAGGGTGAAAATATATGTTCGATTCTCTTCAATACTATCTTTGAGAGAGGTTTAAAGCCTTAATCCTGGATCTGTCCCAAATAAAATTGTTTCGTCCAATAAAAAATACATTTGGTTAATAAATAAAAAAACAGCATTTGTGATGTAGATAATGAGTGGTAAATATTGTTCACTTATACCATTATACCATTCAGTATGCGAATTATTTAGGGAAGCAAACAGTGATAGCTGAAAAAAGAAAAAAGAATAAGAAAGGGCGTTACTGCTGATAGTCTTTGTCAATATAGATTGAAAGATAGATTGTCACACACTCACACTGGTTCCGAGTAGTCAAGACAAATTTCTCTTTGTTTTCAGACTAGCATCTCCCAAACCCACTATGTGATGGAGATATTCATAAGAAAAAAATTAGAATTCCCCCTAGCCTCTCAAATTAAGCTGAAGCTCTGAACTATAGCTTTGGTTTGGAATTAGTTTTATTATAACAACAACAATAATGATAATATATAACCCATTAGCTAACCGTATTATAAAGAATAGTAATTTTTAACCAAACGATAGTAGCTCAGTTGGCACAAGGGAACCGAATAGGTGGGGTTGAGAGCATGTGTTTGATCCTATCGAGTATCATATTTGGGGAGGGATTTAAAGCCTAAACTCTGAGACCCGTCCCAAATCAGACTAATCCCGAAATGATGAATCGATTGGAATATTTAAAAAAAAAATTGAGAATTTTTCTCATTTCCTAGCCAACTAAATCAATCATAAAAAAGCAAGTTGCCTAAATCAATTAACCACGTCTTTGTAAACTATTAACTTTCCTAAAAAAAAAGGTTGAATCCATCATATTAAAAAAAAAAAAAAAAAACTAGACGAGATATTTCACGAGTGTGTAGGAGATTTTTTCTCCTTGAGAGAAAAATATTAGTTTATTATTTCTCATATTTTAAGAGATAAATTTAATCCTATATACACATAAAAATATGTAGTGCTTATGCTTTCTCTTTTTCTCTCTACTCCTGGTATGGCTTCACATTTTTTTATATTTACATAAAAAATAAATTTTGTTTCCTATAAAAAAAACATACCCTTTGTAAAACGGTCATTTTCTGTACTTGCACATTTCTATCTTGGCAACCCCACTTTTTAGTTAAGGTTCAACGAACAAAGCTTGGTTGGAAATCTTCCGTGTTCTCATAGCACATGCACTCTGAAAGCATTGTGAATCTTTTCTACAGTTTGATAGTTCTATCTATACAAAGACAAAACTTGTCATAATTACATAAAATTGTGAAATCTCGGTTTCTTCTCTTTCTTTTATCATTTAGGTGAAGTGAAATTAGTTTCTTTTTTTCCTAATAAATTGACTAATGACTGGTCTTTTTACTAGAATAAATTTAATTACACACTCCTTTCACCGATATAAAAATAAAACTACAATTATATCATTGATATATGAAATGATTTCTTAATCAATATTAGTTATTATTGTGTTTTTGAATTTAGTTTTTAACCCAAGCTCGACCATCATTTCAATAACAAAAACGTGATGGTGTAGTGTAGCTATTGTATAAAAAACCAAACGGCTCAACCCATGAACAATATAATGATAATAATAACCATAATGATGCCAAACTCTGAAGATTCTGCAGATACATATACATAAAGCTAACTAGAACAACAAATGCATGGCCAGTCATGTCAAGAACATGACTAGTAGCATCAACCTCTCATTTCTCAATAATGGTAAAAATTAACTGTACCAACAGAGAATAACTGCCACCACAAGAATCAATACTTTAATAATTACATTATATGAATTTCAATATCTGATGTATATAGGACTCTAGTCTCTCGGAATTTGTGCATCATAAGAGAGTCAAAAATCACTGGAACTGAACAATATGGATCTTGAAAATTAAAGATATTGTCTTATTCCACGTTGGCATCTTTATGTCCTTATGGTTCCTCATCCATTAATTTTGCTACCCTTTATTCAACTTCAAGGGTCACTTCAATCTAATGGACTAGGAACCAAGCCAGAGCCTTCGCCAAGAATTTCCCTCCCTTCAACTGCTGATGTAGAGCTTTATAAAGATACCAAGCGTAGCTTTGGTTTTTCTTGCAATGCTTAACAATCTTTTTGGCTCCTTCTCATGCTTCTTTGGAATTTCCTTACCTAATGTAAAAGCTAAATCCTTTAAAAGTACAAAAAAAAGGGTCAGGGCTAAGGAAGCATGTATTAATAAAATGTATATAATAAAGTTGTAATATGAGGCAGGATTTGAGAGCTTACAACATTAATTGTAGGGCAGCTATGTGAATTTTATTTATATTAATGAAAGGAACATAAGTTGTTGCTGAATCCATATGGATGAAGAAACTTTTGTCGTTGGTCTTCTGCGTCCAAGAAATGACTACCATTATCCTGAAAATGATGTTCTTGTCAGAATAGTAAAAGAAGAAGGCCCTTTTTTCTTTTTCTTTTCTTTTTTTTCTGTTAGAAATTAATTATTCTTTGGACATTTTAATTTGTTTATACCTCAGAGAAGACATTTGATCTCTTGCCTTGAAGAAAAAATGAAGCTGAACTATCCAAAAGGCAGTCACTAGCAGTGGGGAATATGGTGGTTGTATCAGCAAAAGTTGTGGCTTGGTTGGGGCTGTTGCAATGTGACACAGATGGAAGTGGTGATGGAGATGCTATGCTATTTAATCTCTGAAAATTCAAATATACCAAGTTAAGTTTATGATTAGAATTTTAATATATTTCACCAGCATATGAAAATTATTGGGTTTTCTTCCTCACCTCTGGTCTAACCATGAGGGTGTCTAGGTCTGTTGCCAAGTCATAGAACATGGGATTCACAGAAGCAAGCTTCATTGACAAGAACTACAGAAGATAGAGGAAATAACTAGCATGTTAGTGCACACATTGTATGTAATGAATAAGGAGTAATAACCATAAACCAACTTGAGTATATATTGGTGTGGTACCTCCACTTGATTCTGTAAAGACTGAACATAATTGATTATTTCATCCAACATAAGGGCCTTTCCAGTCACCTACTTATAAACCAAACCACATGAAGTTGTCAGAAGAGCTAGGAAAAACATACATACATATATATATGTATATAAATGTCTCAACCAAGATAAAACTCAAGACGAAGACATGAAAGTTTTACTTTACCTACCTTATCACAGCCTGGCACAAGTCGCTGCAACATCTTCATCTTTTCATTTATTTTCTCTCTTCTCACCTGAAAAATCCATTTTTTCCAACATTCACACTGAGACATGTTAGATAAAAACTCTTAGGGGTCCCCCCCTCCCTCCCCAAAGGCATAGATAAATTTCCAAGTTGTTAAAGAGTACTGTACCCTTTCAGCAAGGCTGTGGCTATCTGTTGCTTGACCCCTTCTTGCTCTGACGTGGATATAACCTGTTGGGCTCTCTTGTGGACATTTTCTCTGATCCCTCTTCTCTTCTTTTTGCTTGTCCTCCTCTTTCACCCCACCATTGCTCTTCTTCAGTTTCTTGTTTCTCCCTTCTGTATCAGTATCCTATAATAAGTAACAAAATGAGAATAACATCAAATTAATAAGACAAACCAAATTTTGTTAACATATATAGTATAGCAAAATGTTGAGAACATACACAAAATTTAACCATTACTCAAATTTACCTTAGATTGGGGGTTACTTAAGGAAGATCCATTTCTGATTCTCCTCTTTTTCTCCATAGGAGTCACCTTCTGAGTGACTTGCTCACCTGTTTCAAACTTGTCCAATACCATAGACGATTGAGGACTAAGGTTTTTGGTCACAGAAGGCTCATTGTCACTGATGGTAATCTTGGAGCTTTGATCAACACAACTAGTCTCCTGATTTGTGACATTAGAAGATGCTTCCTGATGAAGGGGAAGCTGAGGATTGGGGAAGAATGTTGAGTCAACAAGAAAAGGATGGTATTGGTATGAAAAAGCTGCCATATTGGTTTGGGATGAAAATGCAAGTTTTCAAGAAAGTGATAGAAGAAAGAGAGAAAATGCTGGTGCTGGTTAAAGCAGTGAGGATTCAGGAAAAGTTGGTCTGTGACAAAACTAAAAGGGTCTGGTCTATATATAAAGATCTGGTCACATAAAATGCTGAAATCTTTTTAAGCAGTAACTCGTTTTCATGCAGAGGCAGTACATTTGACTAGTCTATTATCATCTATTTCAATTTTCTCTTTCACATTGGTGATAATAATAAATAAGCCACATTAATGAAAACAAGAAAAGATTAATTGACTTTTTGGGGTAGTTTGTTGGTGACTACTTTCTGTACCTTACTAATATAACAAATTATAAGTACAAAAATATTAAAGATATTAATATATAAGAAATGGGACACAAACCTAGCTCTTTATTTTCTCTTACTTATAATTGTCCAAAAAAGGCTTAAGAGTTATCTTGTCACACATGAACCTGAACAAGGGATAGTTTACCATTACCAACGATCAGCACTTATGGTTCATGCTTTTTTGTGTCGGGTCGGGGCTTAATTTGAAGTCAAGATTTATGTGTTTATATCTATATTTTTGTTCATAATATAGATATAGATTTATTGATTTAAAAATATATTTAGAAATTTATGAAAAAGTATTGAATTTCAACGGATGATATTTAGACCCAATAACTGTTTACCTCTAACATAATTTAGATTCAACGATTGATCATCAATTATTATATCTTATCGCATTATAAAAAAAAAAAAGGCTTAGTCATGATAATGATAATAAGTATTAAAGGTATTAAACTCTGTTAATAATTAATGTTATAATATAACATTATATGACAGATAAAAAATAAAATAAACATTAATTAGATGATGTTGTTAAAAACTTCTGCGGTTAATATTTGTTTGGATTGTTATGGATAAAAGGAGGAAGACCCGTGTCAATGTACAGGAAATTTTGGGGTCCCAATTCAAAACAGTCAATCAATGGGGTACCTTTCCACAAGAAAAATAAAAATAAAAATAAAAATAAAAAAAATAAAAAAAAAAGGTAATTCGAATTAAAAAAAAGTCGCCATCAGTAGAAAACAACAAGATTAATTAATGATATTTAAGAGGGAGAAATATACTGTATATTTTTCTTTGGCTCTGTCACAATAGGAAGAATACACCATGCAAGAATTATAAAAAAAAAACAAATTGTGATTGTGATATATATAGACAATAAAGGAAAGAGAAAATAAAAAGAAAACAATTAAGTAAAAATATATTATTATTTAATATATTCTGTTAAAAGTTTTGTTTTTTTCTATAAATTAAAGAGATTTTATTTAAAAATTATAAAAAGATAAAAAAAAAATTCTTTTGATGTTTTTCCAAAACTAAAATCTCAAATTCTTCACACACACACACACACACAAGTTTTTCCCCTCCTCCAAAAAATATACTTTTCCATAAAATAACATCAAAATGAGATATTGATTTAAATAGTTTATCATTAATTTCTGCTTATACTCATTATAATATTATGCACAATTGCACACATAAATTCATTAAACTTTTATAAATATATAAAAAGTTAAAATAAAACTTATAAAGTTATGTATTCCATAATTGTTAAAAATATTGGATAAAAACCTAATATTCAACTTGCATTAAAAACAAATCGCAAAATCCGTGAAGGGGTGGAATTGAGCTCGACATGAGACGGACATTACATGTAACGCGAAATTCATTTGGAGTATTGTTATTAGGGAAGCTGATGATAGAATAGATATTAGTCTCCCATTTAAAGGGTATGGTTCACTTCATGGTCTTAAAAGAAAAAGAAATAAATAACAACATACCTCCAACCAAAATAAAAAAATAAAAAAATTCATAAACAATCTTTAACTTTAAAAATTATCTAGATCCTATTAAAAAAATTGAAAGGAAAGTAAAAATCTTATATATATAAGAATTTGTAAGCTTCTTATCTAAGTAAAAACTTGTATATTACTATGTATACAAAAAAAAAAAAAAAAAAAACTTGTACATTACACGTCTAGGTTTTGTGATTCTATTAGAATTTAATCAAAAGCAAAATCATTGGTGGGGACTTTGATAATACGTAAAGATTCCTCCAAAAAAGATGTCAATTACATAAGGTAGATTGATTGAAAGAGACAGGGGGTATTGTATTGGGCTGAAGATGTTGGATCGAATACATAAGAATCCAGCTCATTAAGAGTCTTCCCAAGATAATCAAATAATCAAAAAAATTAAAATTAAAAATATTATGTGATAACTGTGGGCCATTCTGGTATTCTTAAATTTGGGTATATGGGTAATTTAGAGGCTTTACGAAAATAGGTTTTATAAGAGTTATGTTGTAGGAAAAGTGATTGTGTAATGTTATAGAGATTCATTTTGCGTGCCTTAATTTTTTATATTTTTTGCTTCAAAAAGTGTGAGCCCCACAAAATGTTATGTACGTAAGAAACTTTTTTGTGTCATGTGACATGACATGATATATGCCAAAGGTAGGAATCCAATTATCATACCCGAATCTAGTTCCCTTACCATCTCCAAGTAAAATATTGGAACCCTCTATAATGTCATCCCATTATCTAACAACACATTTCCAAGGTTTGAAGCAATACCTCTCCTGTGATAGAGGGAATAAACTCACTACCAACATTGTACTTGCTTCGTAAGACTCTTCCCCAAAGAGAGTCCTTGTTCGTTAGAATACCATGCCTTATTTTCATAAGCATTGCATTATTAACAGCACGAAGATTCCTTAGGCCTAGACCACCAGCCTCCTTAGGGGTGCAAACAACATCTCAATTTACTAGGTGAACTTTCCTATACTTCTTGGAAGAGCCCAAAAGGAAATTCCTGGATATTTTCGCAAGGTCATTACAAAGACGTCAAGGTAAGAGTAGAAGTCTGCATAGTATAGGCTAGAATAGCTTCAGGACTTAGATAAGGTGGTGCGACCTGCCAGGGAGAGATTGGATTGATTCCATCCAAATAAACGATTCTGAACCTTCTGCAAAATGTGGTTGAAAGAACTTCTAGTTACTCTCTGGCTATGAAGAGGCACTCCAAGATACTTTCCCAAATCATTGGTTCTATTGAATCCCAGACAATTGCTGATTTGAGAAGCTCTATTACAGTTGACGTTTTTGGAGAAAAATACACGGGTTTTTTTATAAATGACTTTCTAACCATAAGCTTGAATGAAAACTCTCAAAACTTGGTTAACAACCTGGGCCTATTCGATTGAAGCTTCGGTGAAAAGTAGGATATCATCAGAGAAAAACAAATGCGAGATCAAGGGACCATTATTTCTGAATTGGAAAGGCTTCCAAGCCTTAGCCTGCAAAGCTACCAAAATAAGGTGAGCCAACTTTTCAATGCATAAAACAAAAATATAAGGGGAAAGAGGGTTTCCTTGGCATATACCCGTAGTAGGATACAATTTCCTAGTAGATTTATCATTCCACAACAAGTTCATAGATGGGATTCTAATGCAACAATCAATGATTTCTACCAGCTTTGAAGGAAGGCTAATATCCATCAGAGTTTGGTGAATAAAACCCCAATCTAACCTGTCATAGGCCTTTTCAAGGTCAATTTTAATATTCATCCAACCCTTTGAACCTTTCTTCTCCCTCATTGAATGAATTATCTCCTGAACAATCACAATATTGTCAAAGTTATTCCTGCCATGAATGAAACTGCATTGGTTGGGAGTTACCAAGTCTTGCATGTGTCTCTTCAAACGATTGGCTATAAGCTTCATGACGATCTTATAAGAAACGTTACACAAGCAATAAGCCCGAATTGTTTGATACTTTCAGGACTATCTACTTTCAGAATCAAGCAAAAAAGAGTGTTGTTTATCTCTTTAATTTTGCTAAGAATGTTGAAGAAGTCGCAAATTAAGTTGCACACAAAATTACCTACTACCTCCCATTAGGTCTGATAAAAAATTATTGCTAGGCCATTTGGACCTGAGGCCTTAAACTTCCTCATGTTAAAGACCACCTCCCTGATCTCATTGACAGACAGAGACCTGATCAAGGTTTGCAAGTTATCATGGCCCAGAGTAGGAAATATGCCAGTTATAGGGAACTCCCCTTCAACCTCATCTTCAGTAGTGTAAAGATTCTCAAAGAAACGTATAGCATGGCTAGCAATCTCTTTGGCATTTGTCAACCAGACTCCCTAATCACTTTTGAGGGCATCAATTCTATTCCTTCTTCTTTTGGCCACTATAGAAGAGTGAAAATATCTAGAGCTTTTATCTCCAAACTTTATCCAGTTACAACGAGAACGCTAAAACCAGCAAATCTCCTCATGGACCAAAATCATCTCCAAAGCTCCCGCGGTAAAGACTCTATCTTACTTTCATGAGATGTGTTAAGGCAGCCATCTATTCCGTTCAGCCTAGCGTAGTGCCTTCTCTTCATTTTTTGAATAGCTTTAAATGAAACTTCATGCACGCCAGAACCTCCCTTTCGAAACGACCCATCGCCAACATCCAATTGAGTTGATGATCCCAAGCCTTTTTAACAATGTTTCTGAACCCTTCAGTAGTCAACCAAGCTGCTAAAAATATGAAGGGTCTCTCACCAACTGAGCAGTAATAAGGAAGGTGGATTTAGAACCTATTTGGCCAGTTCACATTCCAAAGATCGTTGATGCACGCTCTATCCAACCTTTCTTGAAGGCCCCTCCTTTGCTATGTAAATTGTGGGCCCTTGAACCCAATATCATGCGTATCGCAGACCTCTAGGAAGACATTGAAATCGCAAGAATTCCTCCACAAAAAATCATTACCACCAGACTTCTCCCCACTATCTAACATCCCATTGCCATCTAGGGGTGGTCATAATTTCCAGACAAAACTGGAAGTTCCTCCCACAAGCAACCTCTTTCCAAACGTCTACGGCTGGCATATATGGAAGTTACCAGCTCAGACTTATTAATATTCGGGTAACTGATTTTTGTATGAACAAGCTGATGATAAGTCTTTAGAATGCTAATAGACACACCATTATCATCCCACAAAATCCAGATTCCAAAAGAGAAGC